GTAATAGGTCTAGTGGAGTTGCTGAACTAACTTTTATTGCAGTAAAGGCTATTAAGGCTGGTGGGGTGGCAACTGATCAAGATGCAAAAAAATATGCTCTGTCAGTCGTTAACAACTTAGGCAAGGAATTTTGCAAAGTTATCCTTTAAGAAGAACCCTTGAAGTAAACTAGCGTAAGTTTTATGGTGCATGCTGATTATACATACAAAAACTTAGGTCTAATTTATCATTATATATTCATTTTGACTGTCTTTACAGGTGCAATTAGGCCATCTTTGTTAATCTTTAATCCATTAGTTTTCTTTCTCTAAGAATGATAATCTAACCCCAAACACCCCATCATAAGATATTTTTATTGGGACCCAATGAAATAGAATTAGAGATAGATAGGTAAGCATATGCCCTATTGACTAATAATGAAGATATATTGTGTAACCAATAGCTTCATTTTAACTAAATCATATTAAAAATGATTATATGGGTTTTGTTATGGTACTTGTTAGTTTATGAATTTTTTTTATAGAGTACTTGCAAGTTTTACATTAAATTTCACTGTTTCTTGCTAATGGAATTTGCTTTTTGGGACCAAAATTACTAGCTATAAATTGCGAAATATTTTTTGTCATAATTGATGCAAGGTAAAGCCTCGCTAAATGTAGATTGGTTATTTAGAGCTTACAATAGATTATATACAAACTTTGAAGTAGCTTGGACACAAGTTAGATGATGTAACCAAATAAGTTAGATTCTTTAATTATTCTTTCATCAAATAAGAATCTTCACTATGGTTCATTCCTATTGGGTTTTTTCTTTAGTCTTTACATAAGTTTTGTACATTACACAAATAATGAAATTGCTAGAAAGGAAAAAGTAAATTCTAAAATAAAATATCTGCATACATAAAAAAGTTTCAATAAAATCTATATTGAAGATTTTTTGGCAAATAATTGGTTTTTTAAAACTAATATACATGTCCTTATATATGGTTTCTAAGGAAGTTATACTTGAAGTCTTTTAGACAAGTAATTGATTTTCTTTTACAGCTTTAGTTGAGTTATAGTTATTATAATTGTTAGGCTAATAACAAATTTTCTTTTGAAACTCATTAATTTTGTTTAACAAAATTTATTTTTACTCATTTTAAGGTTGAACAATGATATCAGATATGATGGTAACACCTGGACAAAGAGTTTGTGAAGAAGCATATTACAAATGAAGATGATCATGGAACTTGATTGTTTGAAGTGTTGTTATTGGTTTTCTTTTGTAAATATTTTATAGTCTTTTAAAGATTTGAGCATAGGAAATACAATATTTACAAACTTTTACTCTGTCTTTTTGTATTATTTTTATAATGTACAATGTAATTTAAAGACCTAATTTGCTATTTATTATTCAATTATAGTACATTAATAAAAATAAATTGTTTAGGAATATAACTCTATATTAATTATTTATTACATATTATATGGTAAATCCATCATTAAAATATATATATTTTTAGAGGCAATTGTAAAAGTTACTAAAAGAGTTATATCAATCGAGTATTGACAATTTTTTCTATCTTAATATTCAAATTTAACAACAAATTTAATTGTTCTAATTCTAAAATTAAAAGTACAATTATGTGTATCAAAAAGTTATAATTAAAGACACAAAATAATTGCTATAAGCTATTTTTAAATTCAAGTAAATTTGCCTCTATATTTAAAACTAGTGGCAATTATTTATTTTTCCCTAATAAGTTGTTATATACATTTAGCAATTAGATTATTGAGGACAAAAATGTATTATGCCTCTAAATGATGTAAAGGCATATAATTGACATTTCGAAACTAATACATATGCCATTATAAGTGTTTTATGTTGTAGTGTCATAAAGCAAAATGTATGAAACATAAAACATAAATCATATACAAGCTAATATAAAATACCATATATAAATAAAATGATATGATAATGACTAAATTAGAGTTTATAGTTTTGATTTTAAGTTCAGGTTTTAGGGTAGGTTTAAGGTTTCAAATAGGGTTAGGGTTTAGGAAAGTTTAGGGTTTTGGTTTTGGGTGGTTTAGGAATTAGGATTTAGGGTAGGTTTAGAGTTTCAACTAAGGGTAAGGTTTAGGGTGGGTTTCGACTAGGGTTAGGGTTTAGGGTATGTTTAGGGTTAGGGTTAGGGTTAGGGTTAGTTTAGGGTTTTGGCTAGGTTAGAGTTTCATTAAGGCTAGGGTTAAGGTTTATGCTTGGGCTAGGGTTTAAAATGTATGACAATACAACATGAACGACAACAATTTATCAAAAACTTAGTAAACTATGTAGCCATTTTATCAAACACTTGAATAACAAAAAAAATCTTATATTTTATTTATCATAATAACATAAAAATACTATAAACTTGATTTTTCTATCTTATAAAAATCTATTGGCCCATAGCATAAATTTCAAGACAAATATAACATGATCTAAGAAAAAAAATATAGCCAAACGTAATTGGTAGGTTCGACCTAAGCATAAAGGAAGTTTTGCCTAACATGGGTTTTACCCTTTTTTCACTATACTCATCACTCACATATCAACCATACATCAAGAAAACAAAATATCCATAATTTATTTAAAAACAAAACTTTCATAAAACACTTAGCAAACTAAAATATGCAAATGAACAAACTATATTTTATTCAGAGAAATTTAAACAAACACATAACCAAAACATATAAATATGATAATCACAACTTTAAATAATCAAAAACACCTATATTGTATATTAAATGTGAAAAATACTAAAAAATGAGAAAGATAGGTTCGGCCAACATGGGAAGCTTTATGGTTGAACCTTTTTTTCTTCTTTCAAACACTACCATGAAATATGTAGGATGAGAAAGATAGATCAAATATGAACTTATGAAAAAAAATATAGCAAGAACTATATAAAATGGGGATGGAAATGCATGAAAAGTGTGAAGAAATATACCTAAAGAAAATTTTTTTACAAGGGTTTTTTTTATCAAAATCTTTTTTTTAATGGTGGATTTTAGTTTTTAGAAAAAAAATTCCATTCTACAGCCTCGTACATGTCAATTTAAAGAGCAAAAACAACCATTAGATCAAAATGCATCCATGGATAGTAACTCCTTTGTCTTTTTCTTACTAAACTTGATGATTAAGTATGTACTATTGGCCATAAGATTATTGTACCTTCAAATCCAATGACTCCAAGAAATTATAACACATCTTCTAAAAACATGCAAATGTGTCCATGGGTAGAATGCAAATTTACTAATTTACTCGCCATATTAGTGATTAAAATCTTGTTTCATTGATCTTGTTCTAAATTTTGAAACACTTTAGCCATTTTATGTGCCTCGAACCTTTCCATCTTCGGCCTTGATGAACGAAAATGATCCTTAAGATTGTTAGTTCCAAGACTTGCAATTTCACAAATTTGTAGTTGTTGATGATCTTCACTTGTATATTGGTTGTAGTTTTCCTTTCAAGTCATAGTTGAACCTAAAATGAAACTTTTAAAGGACATATGAACCAACTTCAAGGCGTGCTGCAAATGCCACTTTCTTTAAGGTTTATTTTGTCTTTACCAATTAAAATATGCAAAAGGAATTGTATCGAATAGCTTCTAAGATACGATGAAGCCTATTGTTTGGTTTAACTTGCACAAGAAAAATCAAACCACTAAATTCTCTTTATTGAATTTAACAATGTTTATTGCAATAAACCAATACCAAGAAACTAAGCCATATATTTGAGAAATAATTGGAGAAGGTAGACAAGGTTTTTGAAAATTATCAACTCTACTGATCATAATAGATCACTTATCAAATGATCTTACATAATCTTTATTTTAAAAAAATTACATTTTATGATTATGACTCTTTCATTATGTTGTTTCAATCAAAGATCACTTCCTTTAGTAAAAAAAAAAAAAATTTTTTTTGAATTATTGAAGTTATATCAATTCATTTGAATGATCACTCTTTTCATTCCAACAGAAATAATTCTTCACATTTCAGAAAATTACAAAATTTTAACTAGAGTAGTCAATTGCTCCCTGAAAGCAATCGGGTGCATTTTTGTATTTCCTATTCCTAAAATGTTCCACAACGTAGGCAATTAACTTTTCTCAACTCTTGAATGCTCAAAATTTTAAAGCAATTGATTCTAGCTATAATAGTCGATTGCCTAGGGTAGATAGTCAATTGCTTTTTGGTTAAGTTTTGTATCTGGACTTTAGTACCTTTCTAGAATGCATAGAAGTATACTCTTTTGCTTTTTGGTTAAGTTTTGTATCTAGACTTTAGTACCTTTCTAGAATGCATAGAACTATACTCTTTTATCATAGGTAGTCAACTGGTTCTTAGGCATGAACATAGCAGTCACTAAGGCAACCCACTGCTTTAACGATATGCCGCCTTTCATTGATTCTTTAAGTCTAAAATTAATCCTATTGATCATGAAACATTATTATAAGTTATTAAATACTTTAATATAATTTTTCTTTTGATTAAGTCTTTACTTAATTATATTATTTTCATATTTTAAAAATATTTTTAACAAAAACAACCCTTCACATACCCCAACTCATTATTTAATTATTTATATATAAACAAAGCAACGCATTTCCATATATAAGTAGCAATGTAGTAAATGTTCTTAAGTTTGTTAGTGATACCTGTAAACAAAAGTAAAGTACTTTTCATTATATACATATAGATACGTATTGATCTCCAAACCACATAAAGACACACCACACATAATTTATTTATTCTCACGTTAAAGTAAATGAGAAATATAATGCCACTGGACTTTGCAGGAAGTATACATAAATTGTAATTAATAATAAGAAATCAGACATATGCTTGCTTCCATAAAGGAAACATGATTTTATTTATTATGCACACATGGCACACCTACGATGACACACCACACACACGGTCCGTGTAAGTCCCTGCTTGTGGCCCAGTGGAGTTTCAGTATATTGCTTTGGTTCACTTCAACTTCTCTTCTTTGGTTTCAAAGCTGATGTTGTAGTAATTAGAACCAGTGTAAGTGCCACCTTGCACTTGAGTTGTGACAGTGGTCCCATTATAAAGACTGTCCCTTTGAGTGAATGAGAAGGGAACGTCACACTTACCATTTGTTGCAATCAGATCCACCGTCGCTTTAGTCATCGGAGGCACAACAACTTTGTGTACAACCTCCACTACAGTGGTAATTGTCTTGGTCTCTCCCCACTCAATTCCTGACTGAACTTCACCGGATAATTCAATCTTCCCCTCAGAAATGAGTGGCAGGTTGACATCGAAGGTGGCTTTCGCTCCCAACTTTAGTGAAAAATTAGTTTTCCAAGTACTAGTCTTGGTATCTGTATAGGAAAGCTTCACGTCTAAAGTGGAGGATTGCTGGCTATAGTTACTGGCACCATTTTTAGCTGCAACAATAATTCTTTCATCATAGACCCTGGAATAATCAAGTTTATATTTGACATTATGAATTTGTCTTGTCATGACAGGCTCTTCCACCGTTAGCCGGGCATCTCTGGCAACAGAGGGGACGGCTGCATTAAGACAGTTTGTCTTTCCCTCAGTTGTGAGGCTCTTGCAGAAATTATTGTTGGCCAAGTTGGTAAGTGCTATTGTGCGATTGTCAACTTTGACGGGGCGAAGCAAGGTGTCCACCGGGATGTTGACGGTGGTAGCGTCGTCATTAGAATCGGCCCAAATCCAATTTGGGCTGCGTCTCCAAAATTTTTCTGAACAAGTGGGCTTGATGCGGATGTTTCCATCGTGAGTAGCAAAAATCTCGCATGGCACAGTTGAATCACCAATATCATCAGTCGCAAACTTCAAATATGGGTGCTTTTCGATCCGACGAAGACATAGATACTGACCATTATTTCCTTTGAATGCTACATACTTCGGCAGAATCAACAACGACTCCCAATCAATGATTGTAAAGATATCGCAGGAATTACCATCAAAGTCTTTGTAGTTTGCCAACACGCAGCGATCACCAGGTACTGGATTCCAACTTCACCGCCACAAACATAGATAGCATCCTGATTGAACATGAATAATTCGGACCTTATTTGTTACAGGGTCTACAGATGTAGGCTTGAACAATGTGCACGACTCCTTGGATTGGTCTCCTCCGGCTTGCTGGCCGTTGCAGTAATCCAATAGCCCTCCCCTGGTTTTTCAGTAGCGGAAAGATTTTTGGTTCGTACCCAGTATTTGTTGTTTTGACAGCTCCTTATGTGCACCAAGCCATCTTTACCAGATCCTGCGGCCATCTCCACTTCAAATTTTGCATATGGGCTCACAGCCTGAGTTTCCGAGAATTCCAGATACCCATCAGACTTCCCATTTTCATGGATGAAGCCCAGGTATTCGTTCTTCTCATCGGATCTGAGGACGATAAATCTTGGCAATGCCAATGCCATTTTTTATAAAAAATCTACATTACAAGAAAGCAAATATCAGCAAACATAAAAGCATATCAACCGCTTCAGAGAGAATACATACATACATATATATATATGCAAAAAAAAAAAGCACTTGACAGGAGAACATAAATCTCAAAAAAATTAAAAAACAGATCAAATTTGAACAAATAATAGTAAATGAAATGTTAATAACCTAAATTGTCAAACATGACTGAAACACATTAAAGCAATATCAAATAAACCTTCATTATTGAAGACATGAATAAAATAAAAGAGTAAAAGAAAAAACACAAAAAAAAAAAAGAAAATTGAGAGTATTGAAGGTTGGAACCCTAGAAAATAGAGCTAAGGCAATGTGATGGAAGGAAAAACAAAATAGGAAAGAGTGCGTTTCGATTCCTGAAAAGTGAAAACCCTTGCCGGTCAAATACAAGCAAGAATCTAAGAGTGGGAAAACGGAATCCAGAGTACATTTTCCCATAAAAGGAAAGTAAAGGCAAAAGGCATCAAGAGAAGAGAAAATCAAAGGTGAGGTACCAGTAGAAGCGACGCAGCAGAGAGCAGAGGAACAGAGAAGAGAGAGCCCAGACTACGGAGACACCTTTTCTTCTCTTTTTTACTATTTTGTTGATCTCTTTCGCTATTTTGGTTTAAAATAAAATATAATTATTTTACAATTACTATCTATTATATTTATACTAAATCCTAGTCCTACACCTTATATTATAAAAAATATATTTCTTAATTTTAAATATAAACTATATATTAAAACATATAAAAAATAAATATATAAAAATATAAAAATCATATGATGAAATTTATTACATGATATAAAAGTTATCCCTTTTTTTTAATTGAAAGGATAACTCATCTATGTCAAAAAAAATTTTAAAAGGTGATTTTGAAAAAAAATTGTTTAGAGATAAAATCATCTTTTAAAACTTAAGATATTTTTGAAACAATTTGTTTAAAAATTAAAGAAAGGCAAGATGTTATGGAGCCTTAGAAAGCTCTTGAAGCTTTGTAATGAAAATATAAAAAAAGATGAGAAAAGAGAATCAGAATCAGAATAAGAAGCGAAATAAAGAGGGAAAAAAAAGAGAACCAAGAGTGGATCAAAGGTTGCCTACTCCAATAGTGAATCAAGTTAGTGGTGGCTCGAATTGAGATAGAGAGAGTAGAGAAAAGATTAAAGGGAATAATAAAGAGAAAATAAAAAAATAAAAAAATGGTCAATAAAATAACTTTTCAATTGTTACAAGTATGTTGTCCATGATCTTTACTATAATTTAGGTGGCCTGAAAGTAATAAACAATTTAGAGTAAGCCAGATCACTAATGTAAGCACAAGCCAAGCATTTCACTCTCTAAACATTTTCGATGGCTCTCTCTTGAAAACCTATTATGTAAAGTGAGTATACCATATTTTCTCATATCATTTTTCTTACAAGAATTTGGGTCCCGCCTTAAATTAAAATGATTGAATTTCATGCAATTTTTATTCTAATTTTTATTTTTAATATTGAAAATAAAATATGAACCAAGCATAATTCTAACTTGTTACTAATTTAATTACTATTCATATGTAAGAAGTTGAAATTTTATTGTCCTAATTAAAAAATGCAAATGGGCAAGTCTATAGAGTTGTCTGCAAATTAAAAGCATTGTTTTTTAAAAAATAATCATTAATTGAATTAGCTTTTGTTATGAATCTTAACTTACTATATCTTTTGGTCCTTTTTTTTTTTTTATTGACGAATTCGATTTTTTTCTTTCATTTTTTGTGCAAGAAATTCTTTAATGGAGACTTGACTAAGGACATAATTTAGATTTTTCTCGATATGTATGTTTCATCAATTAAGATTTTTATCTCAGATTGTTTCAAGTTTAGACTTTTATTTTCTTTAATGTTTTTTGATATTTAGATTGTCAAAGAATATTTGGGCATATTCCTAGTATGTATGATTTATAAGTATTCTTTTAGTTTTATTCAATTTAATATATAATGAAGTTTGCCAAATATAGTTATAGATATATTTTATTTTGTTCATTAGTGGATATTCTAAAGTTTGAACATCTTTATTGTAGACTACTTTTTTACAAATATTTTCATTCAAATACTATAACCAATGGTGAAATTTGTGTAATCCAAGTTTGTGAATTATGACATGTATTCATTATAAGTTCTATTGGAACCAAATTTCATTTTGTATCAATTTGTTTGATAAGAACTGCCCCAGATAATCAATTTCTTTTACTAGTTTACCTTTGGATCTTTAGTTTGATGTTTTTTATTTTCGTTACACTAAACTTTGTGACTGTAAGTGATTAGGTCTTTATTGATTGAGTCATTTCCAAAATGACCTTTAAATGAATTGGCTAGCAAGATGTTGTTTGAAACCTATGAGGAATGGTAAACTAAGTACTTCCCTATATATGTTTAAAATAAAGTAATTTTGGTTTGCTTAATATCCAATATATATAGATTATCATAGTAATTTTAGTTATTTTGCTTTGCTTCTATAGATTATTATGGGAATTTTTCATGCAACATGTTAGTTTACATATCTTTAATTATTCCATCAACCTAAGTTTGAAAATACTAATTACTATTTAGGTTATTACATGTAAGGATTGGTTTTTTATTTTTTATAATTCTACTTCTCCATACTTGAGTAATTTTCTATGATATATGTACGTTTCTAATCTAAGTATAGTTTTTTTCATTCTTCCATTTAGTCTACCTATTAAAATCTATCAATAAAGCATTATGTGTTTGTTGAGAAAAAAAATGGTTATGTTTTGTTATCAACAACTATATTTGTTTTCCATAAGTCTTTTTTAAAGTTCAACTTTAATATGGTAATCTTACAAACAAAAACAAAGTAAGGATTTTGATATAATTTTATGTGCTTATAAGTCCAAAGATCTAAAATAGAACTTATAATCTATCGCAATATTTTTCTATTTTGAATGCTAGCCTTCTTCTTAAATGAAATTAGCATACAAAAATTGGGTGGTAATGATAAACTAATAGTTTATGAATTTGGTAAAAAGCTTTTGGAAGAGGTTGTTTATATCTTCATACATTCAAAGCTGCTATGTGCATTACCTAATCTTTTTTATATAGATAAGAATGGAGTTTGGCTTTTATTTCTTTTATGTTAGATCATTACTATGATTTCAAGTTCGAAGCATTTTTATAGCTTTAAAATTAAATTTTCTTTTGTGTTAATCAATGCATTTTTTTAAATTGATTATTTATTTATTTTATTTTTTACGTTAGTATTAAATATTTTATTAGTGCTGTAGGTGATGACATCTATGAGTTCTTACTCTTTTTTTATACGTAGGCAATTAATTTTTTTACAATATTGATATCTGCATTTTTTCAAAATTGTGTTTTTTTTTTGCTTTTTGATACTATTTGCAATATGATACATGTTTTTAGTTATCATAGTGTATTTTTTTATGACTCTTATTTTTTTGTGTTCAGAATTTGTTTACAACATAACACAATTTTTTCTTATTTTTCCCTCTTAGGTTTTTTTGTCAAAATAACTTGATTGGAACTATCAATTTTCTTATTAACTATTAGGCATGAACTATCATTATAAATTAGTGTGAACTAACACATTTTCTATAATGAGAATTTTTGTAAATTTTGAGCATTCATGATATCATGCAACTAGATTTGATTGTCTTATATAATTATTATTTTCATTCATCATTATTCTAAGTGATTATTTAAAACAGTTATAACATAGCATGGAATATAGATGAAGTCCGATTTTCTTGTAGAATTAAGGTAAGCAGTTTCTTTTTTTGCTCCTAAGGAGCTATTGGGTGCACAAAACAAACAAAAATGCATATTATCTTTTGATATTATTGATATAAATGCTTCATTCTTTTTTAATTATATGTCTTTATATATGTTATTGTTATTTTATTTTTGTTCTTTATATTCTATTGCTAGAGTTGGGAGCATGAATACTTGTTTTGGTATAATTTTGTTATTTATTTGTCCTGAATAAGATTAAGAGATTGTGTTTTTATAAATTTTTTTTCTAACTTCCTCTGTTTTTTTTTCCTATGTAGGTTGCTCACTCAATTTTTATCTAACAAAGTTCTATAAATGTATTTTGTTTAAATCACTATGAAAACGTATGTTTCAGATTTTAATCTTTTTATATAACTTGGTATCCATATTGCATTGTTTAGACCATTTATGTTGCTATCTACCTGATCTTTTTTGGTTAAATCTTTTCATTGGCCATATTAGTAGCATTTTAAACAAGACGAATTTATTTTAGATTTTCATGACCTAATTTAACAATCTTGCTTTTAGGGCAATAGTTCTCAATAACTACAATAAAAATAATAAAGTATATACATTCATGTTCAACTATTTTTTTGAAATATATACATTCATGTATACATGTTCCAAAAATATTATATGTTTCTTATTTCTTTAAATTTGAATAATATCATGAATACCAACATGTTAATCTCTTCTTTTCACGATTCATTAAATTATTAATGGTTACATTTTTAATTGACAATAAATTATGGTTGTTAATGAATTATTATATTATCTTATATAAATATATAAAAGTCAAATCTTTTAGCAAAAAAGGAAAAAATTCAAGATAGATGGCCTATTATTTTGATATATGAATGATGTTAAACAATCGATATGTGACTTGCATTTAATTAATTTTATTTGATTTCATATAAATTTTAAAACATTTCAATGCATTGATTATGTTTGAATTATTTTTTAAAAAGTAAATTAATTATATTTATTTTTTACTGTTATTTACTTTAAATCACTTTCAATTAAATTTATATTAAAGGTAATAAAACTTTAATTATCATCATTATGGGATAATTTTGTGTTTTCTTTTTTTAATTATAATATTCAACTTTTAAATTACATTTGTGTACAAAAAATTCACTCTCTAATTTTTAAATCTATAACTTATTTATTTACTCTAC